TTGTTGTATTGATCCTCAATAATGTAGCAGTCAAACAATTGACATGCTCTATGATATAAGTACTCATATGTAAAAATCAACAACAACAACAACAACAACAACAACAAAGCCTTTAGTCCCAAACAAGTTGGGGTAGGCTAGAGGTGAAACCCATAAGATCTCGCAACCAACTCATGGCTCTGGCACATGGATAGCAAGCTTCCACGCACCCCTGTCCATAGCTAGCTCTTTGTCGATACTCCAATCCTTCAGGTCTCTCTTAACGGACTCCTCCCATGTCAAAATCGGTCGACCCCGCCCTCTCTTGACATTCTCCGCACGCTTTAGCCGTCCGCTATGCACTGGAGCTTCTGGAGGCCTGCGCTGAATATGCCCAAACCATCTCAAACGATGTTGGACAAGCTTCTCCTCAATTGGTGCTACCCCAACTCTACCCCAACTCATATGTCAAAATCAGTGGATTATTAAAAGCTAATCACTTGTTTTTCTAACAAACCAACTGACAGGTATCCTAGGGCATGATTTCTGGTCATATGGTAGAAGTTACATAAGTCGAAGAATGTTAACCCAGGAAAAGGTAGGAAAAGAGACAAACCAGCATCAACATTTTCCATTATATCCTTCAGGCCTTGCCCCAAACTCCCATGAGATAGCAATCCACCATTCGAGAGTATAATATAGGCATTATCTAGCCATTTGAAATCTTTGACAGTGCCAGATCGTCCCATGCTACATGATGATGACGGCTTGATATCCTGTAGAGCAAAACTATTAGACAACGGTAATCATGGAAAAGGCAGCTACTGTTGAAAACAGTAAAACTACGATTTATTATACAGCAACCCAGACCATATCCGGCGCCAGGATCAACAAGCACTCAACCAGTAAACCTGGTCATTGCCAGGAATCGCCAAAGCATTAAAAAACTGGTAAACACCATCAATGGCATTAGCTCATTGGTCATTACTACCAGCTTGTTCTTACACAAATATCTAACTCGGAACATGCTGTGGAAAAATGCACTGCAGCAGAACAGATAATCCCATTCTAATATTCTATTGTGGTATTGTCCTGTTACGCTGCCCTGGACTGACATTGCATTGTTCACACGATTTTGTGGGGAACTGGAAAAGATGGTCCAACCTTATCGGTGAGCAAGGAAGTAGCCGAGAATAACTGGATCTCAGTGCCCGTGCAGGCAGCTAGCACGGACTGATCGCGGGAGAGCGCTAGGAGAGTGACGCCGGGGAGGGGCACGTCGGTGACGCAGCAGTCCTGCGCGCAGCGGGTGCTCGCCTTGCCCTTCTCCCTGGCCTCCTTGCTGGCCTCGATCAACGCCTTCGTCCTCGCGGCGATAAACCCTGGAAGCAGAGAGCGGGAAACCCTAGGCGGTGAGGTCTGACAGGAATGCAGAGGCGGGCGCTTGGCGGATGGCGATTCGGGGCAAGCTTACCGTTGGGGTGAGCGAGGAAGACCGCGGCGTGGCGGTCGGAGACGGCGAGCGGGCGCGCGGGAGGGGACTGGAGGTCGAAGAGGGGGAGCGGGGCGGAGGCGGGGGGTAGGACGGGGATGGGGTCGCCGACGAGGCGGAAGACGAAGTCGGTGGTGCCGTCCATCTCGCCCTCGACCTCGTCGGAGAGGTCCAGCTCCCGAGGCGCCGCCATGGCCGGCGGTGGCGGCCGGGGGCTAGGGTTCTGGGGAGGAAGTTGGGAGGGGGGGCGGTTGATTTTGCGCCGCGGCGAGGCAGCAGCGACGGGGGCTTTCGAAATTTGGAGTTACCCGAAGATTTAGGAAGAGGTTAGCGTGGTTTGTAAGCTGAGCAGTCAGCAGAGGGACGGGGACGGCGGGGAGCGGAGGGTTCCCGGCGGCGAATGTGGTGGTGGTAACCTGGAGTGACCGTGGGCCACAAAACAATGGACCTTTTTGACGGCTTCGGTCTTGGGCTACGGCAGAGCTGTGGTTTTTTGGGCCCTTGCTCTCGGGCATTCCCTAAACGGCGCCCGTTGCGCCGTTACAGGCATGGGCGCAAACGGGCGCACACCCCCGCGTCAGGCTGGGCCGGTCCATCTAACAAAAAAAAAAGAACACCAGTAAAAAAAAAACACCAAAAAAATAGGCGCTGCTAGGATTCGAGCCAAGTACCTCTACCGTCAAAGAACACCAGTGTAACCACGGGGCCGCCGGGAGGGATCTAGTTACCTTTTAATATTTCCATCTATTATTCGTTCTCCTCCCATTTTTTCGTTCTCTTTTTTTCTTTGTCTTGGTCCGATGAATTGGTTCGCAAGTACATGAACGTTTTGTTCAAATCGATGAACTTTTTCTAAAATTCATAAACTTTTTTAAAAAATTTATGAACTTTTTAAAAATTCGATGAACTATTTTTCAAATTGGATGAACTATTTTCGAATTTCGATGAACTTTTTTCAATGTTGATGAACTTTTTTAAAAAATTGATGAACTTTTTTCAAAATCGATGAACCTTTTTTGAATTTTGATGAACGTTTTTCAAATCTGTGAACTTTTTCTCCAGATTCGTGAACTATTTTTTCAAACGATGAACCTATTTCAAAATTGATAGATTTTTTTCTCAAAATCGTGAACGTTTTTTCAAAATCGATTAATTTGTTTCAAAACAAATGAATTGTTCTGTAATTTATGAACTTTTTCCCAAATGTTTCGAAAAAAATTAAAAATCAAAGCGCTACAGTAGTGTACTTAAAGTCCTTTGCCTGTATTTGGTCAGCAGTGCAAAGAAGCTCAGGTGGTTAGCATTCTTGTTTGCTGTTCTAACGTCGAGAGTTCGATACTTGCTGAGAACGAATTTAGGGTGTTTTTTTTGCTTTTTTCGCGCCCTTGTAGATTGTTGCTGGGCCGGCCCAGTCCTCCGCGCTCGTAACGAGCGGTTCGTGAGCGCTCCGCGCGTGAGCGCTCCGCGCGTGAGCGCTCCCGCAAGGGAAAACCAGTTGCGCGGTTGGTTCCCGGTTTTCCCTTTCCGATTTGTGGTTTGGTGCGTTTTGCAGTTTGACCCTCGAACTATCTGAATTTTTTGTTTTCCCTTTCCTCACGAAAACACAAAAAAATACCGGTTCGCGCGGTTGGTTCCCTTTTTCCCTTTCCCGTTTCCCTTTTTGTTCCTATTATATTTCCGGGTAATGGAGATTTATGGGGTAGTTACGGGTGGGGACTACCAACACTATCAAATGTCACCTTTCAAGTAAAGAAAAAAAAGCAACTTTTTAATGTCAACTTTCGGCTCGTTTAATTTTCATAAACATCTTGAATGGGGGGCATAGGTCAAAGTGTGTGTTGGTCGTGCGGCGTGCTGGTTCGTGCGGCGCGTTGTACGTCGTCGTGTGGCACGGCGCCTCTAGCGCGAGGGAACCTCCGGCTCGCCTTCGGCTCGTTTAATTTTCATAAACACTTGAAGGGGGGG